GTGACGGGAAGGAAGAGTTGAGATCTGAGCAGGGAGGGAGGGAAATGAGCAGATTAGGACCCCCTGGGTGTTTGCCTCTCCTGCCCCTCTTCCCAGTCCCGCATCGCTCCGTCCCTCCCTCTCTCACAGGGAGCAAACAGACTAATAAACTGACACCACGCTTTTTCTAGGCAAGTCAGCCAAGCCCAAGAAGCCACGTGTGGACTGTGAGGAGAGACTCACTCCACAACAGTTTTGTTTTGCATTATTTAGACATCATCCAGTTTACAGGGAACCAGAGAGGGCACTGGGGCCCCAGAAAGGCTGAGAGAAGGAAGGTTTTCAAAATAATAGCGGCCACGTTAGACCAAAAGCAGTAGAGAAGAGCCTGCTTCACACAGAACTGGAAGGTGCAAGAAAAAAATCCAGGTATGAAGTGAAAACAAGAAGGCACAAAAGTTCCATTTTAAGTATAAGCAGCATTATGAAAGAAAAGGAGCACAAGGGGGAAAGAAAAGCCCACTCCCATCTCCTCAGCCTGCTGGGAACCTAGCTGGGCTTTAGCTTAGAGCCCTTGGAGAGCCAAGCGATTAAACAGAGGTGACTCAGGCAACTAATCACACATAGATGCTTAGAGGTTTGCTCAGATTCTCACAGATAGCATGTGGCAGGGCCAGGAGGCCAAAAATAAGAGAGACATAGGTCCCTACTCTACCCTGCTCTCCTCGGCAGAGCCCGGGGCAGCGGCGCTTGGCTGCCTTCTTCCTGTGTCCAGGGTTCTCACGCACAAACAAGAGAGACCGTAACTTCCCACTTTGGCAGATCTGGGTCAGCAAACCAGCATGGTCAGACAGCACTGCTGTTCTGTGTGTCATCTGTGGGCCGGGTCGGGAAGGCAGAGGGGAGGTATACCACAAGACCCTGCTCCCCCCAGCATATTACTGGGGTAGCCATGGACCCAGCGGCACGGTCTCATCACGCAGGAAATGGTACTGCCGGGCTTTTCGGCAATGCTTTTGCCCTTTGAATGCGCTCTTTGGTTGCTGCCTGCTCACCTGCCGGAGCCACTGCCACCACCTGTAGAAATGCAACTTGTGTTAACATTTAGATACGTAGCCTTTGCCTTGAAAAAACTGACTCTACCTGGCCAGTTCTACGGGACTAAGAAAAGGCATACAGCTACTCTAGTGTTTGCAGGACCTGGGCCTTATTAAATTGCGTGGCTTAATGAACACATAAAGCATACCTCGCAGGCATGAAGAATCTGGAGTCTGATTATTGTAGTTGTGCAACTGAAGTATGAATGTGACTCATAAGCAGCTAGATAAGTAATAAGCAGAATGACTGGCTCAGAGAGCTAAACAGTTCAAAACTGCACTGCTATAGATCTACTGGAGAAATAAATGGACCAGGAGATATCTTTAATACTCTGTTTGGCTACATAGCATGAACTGAACACAAGGTATGTTTATAATTGGAGCACAGGTGCTCGTTCACTATCTATGGAGTAAGCAATTAATCAAGTCAAAAGCGCATGAAAAGGACATGAACAGAAAGTGGTAATAGGACAGAAAATAATCCAGGAGAGACTGCAGGGTCCCCATAGCAGGACAGGAACGGATTAAATGCATGTAAGTGGAAACTATCCACTGGCGTTCGGGCTGCTGGAATAAAGAAACTCAAGTAGCGCCACAGTGGCCAGCGCATCTGTGTAAGCGGCTGTGTGCTGGCATGCCTTCGGGGTGCCAGCGGTGCCACAGGAACAGGCTGCCCTGGAAGGAGCAGGACATGCTCCCGGAAAGCCCACGAAGAGCCGGATGCATGCACGTAACAGCTGAGGGATGACGCGAGCTTGCGCTGCCCGTGCACCCTGGCTCTGCCGTGCTGCTGCCTGGGCCTCCATCCTGACAGGGAGGTGGGCGAGGTGGGTGTAAAGAGGCTGTGCTGTCTCCAGCGTGCTCAAGTGGAGGCGACTGCAGTAAAGAAAAAAGAGAATCAGGATTCTTGTTTATCCTAAGTGAGGCTTTTTCTAGTAACACCAGTAATTCTACTATTTGACAAGCTGGGTATTTTTCCCTCTAATCTCTTATCCATCACAGTTACAGGCAGAAGAGAAGAAACTTCTCAAGCCTTCGGGGTTCCTTGTATTTGTCCTGTGGGAAGGTTTTAAACAACGCTGACTTAATATTCTCTCTGGAATCCCATTTTTGGCCTTTCAAAGAGATGCTGTCAGGCTAATCCTGTTATGCTTATCCCTAACATATTAACATGAAAGAAAACAAGCAAAACTAAAGGCAGAGTGGGTTCCCTTTGCCTCTGTGTGAAGTTTTGGGGGACTCTGGCTGCTTATTAGAGCAGCTGCTTTTTTCTCCTCTGTCCCTGGCTCTGACTGTATACGCAGCTGCACTGTGACATGTGCCAGGACAGATTTCCCAGACTGTAAGAGGAGTGCCTTCTTGTGATACGGTTTCAAAGTGCCTTACAAATTATGTGCAAAGAGTCACCTGTCCACCAAGAACTGCAGCCGATACAGTGCAGGAATAAGCCCCTAGGCAGAGTTATTTTTACATCCTGTCCTAGTCTCATACCATCTCAGGATCTCATCATTATCTGCTTTTATTTATTGCTGCTGTTTCCTGCAGTTGCTTGCAGAGGATGGCTGCTCCCAAGGCTCCCATTTGAAAGCAGGAGAGATTCTGACAAAAAACAGAAGGACTTAGAAAAATTAGGAATTTTGTGGAAAGCAGTTCCTAGACAAGTTTGGGTCTGTTATCAGAATGGTTCAAATACCAACAGCATGCCCCTCCATACTGAAAGCGTCTAGGTTTTCCAACAAGAAATTCAAACATTCTGTGGGGAGACAAGGGAAGATTCCTGTCCTGTCCAATGTAACACACACTCTGGTGCTTACTGTTGTCTAAGTGCAACCTGCTCAAACTCTGTGCCACCCCATCACAGCTGAAAGAAAAGTCCACCCTGTCCTTGCTAAAAAAGAAGTTAAAATGAAGTACCTCCTGTACCGGTAGTCAGTTTACAGAAGGGGAAACGAGCGATAATTTCTCTGGTTGAAGATGCAGAGATTAGTTCTGTAACATCCAAACGTATCTAATTCAGCTGGAACTGAGCCATGGCACAAGGATACAGAACAACCACGTTCCTAATTCCGGTGAGAAGGGTACATGAGATATTATTAAATATATGTCTGGTTCTAGAAGTACAGACATAAGGTGACAATGTGCCTTCTCTGAAAGCACTACATGGCCCCAAACATTTGGGAAGCATCTCACCCAGTTCTCCTCTCTGCACTGGCTTCCCTGATGAGCCAAACTCCAGCTGCTTTAAAGAGAAAACAACAAAACAGGATGAATTGCTCTTGTGCTGCCCCCAAAACGAGGGTTCCTGATCAGCTTTTATAAACCTCCTGTATGTACCACCAGCAGGGACAGACAAGTGATAACATGGACAAGCCTTCAGAGCCACATTGACTGGAAAACAAGCCAGGTCATCACTGAGCAATCTAAAGATTACAGGTGTTTTCTGAGAACAATAGAGAGGATTTTTCTTGCCAAACATATTTTTTTTTTGCAAACAAAAGCAGTTCTGGCAGCCTGGCTGGTGCTGTGTATAGCATATACAGCCCTGGTCCCTGCACGACCTCTTCTAACTTACTGCTTCCTGGTCTTTGAAAAGTGTTCTTGCAATTAAATCCACTAGCTGTTCAACAGTCTGAAACACAGCCAGTCAGCAGTAAGGACGGACGGGCTTATTATCTTTAACTATTCCTTTTGGTCAGGAATCCTAACTCTTCCAGAGAGAAATTTCCTCTTTCCTATCAGAAGGAAACTACACAGGGAGGAATCATGGAAAATCTTTGTAATGCTGACAGGCTGTAGGTGACTCAAAGCACTCTTCCTGCACGGGATCTTCCCAGAGAAATCTGGGCAACAAACAGACGCTCAGAATTGGAGTCTGAGTAATTGCCTTATCCCAAGAGAGGAAGGACAGTGGATAAATATAGGCGTTCTCTATACCATAAGGCTGAGCAAACAGTTTCATAGCTGCAGTATTCACATCTTGCACCCAAGATTTCAAAGTCACATACAGAAATAGGCTCCAGAATAAAGGGGACAAGGCATCACAAAAAGCTCACTTAGTCCCATAAGCCTTTAGGGTGACTGAGCTACAGCACACAGAAAGCATCACGGCCCAAAGAACAGGGCTTCATGCACAAGCACAGAGGCAGCGGCAGCTATGTAGAGTGTCCCACAGGGTCAGACCAGCTGAGAGGTACTCATGTGGGCCCAGAGACCAGGCAGCCGTTGCTATCTTATCCCTCACTTCCCCATGCTTTGCCCCGCTTCTTGGTGACAAGCGAGACCTTTCCCAATGGGCACAGGTCCAAACTCTGCTCTCGCTCAGACCCTTTGCCAGGAAGCAGGTTATTCCACAAGGTCACTGCAAGGTGATTAGGTACGTTCTACAGCTGGGGCAGCTGCCTTGTGCTTCCACACCAAGCACGTTTGAAAGAATTACAGTCAAGCCAGAAAGGTGGGATCTGGGCATGACCTCTTAGTACTGCAGAGAAGACAGCTCCTAACTGCTGGAGATTTTTCAGGAAAGAGTATGAGAGTGGCAGGAAACAGGCAGCATTCAGCCTTAAAGCAGGCTCTGTATGGCACCCCCGGTAGGTACTGCACAGCTCCTGCAACAGGTGGTTACAGAACAACAGCACGTGTTTTATAAGGCCACCTGCGAGCCCCAGGGCAACTGCTCTGCATTCTGTGAACAGTATGAGAGGACAGCGCCAAGGTCCGACAGGGTAACAAAATGAAGAAAGCCATTGGGATAAATAGTTTACTCGATTGTACTGTATCCACAAATGGAATCAGTTAACTGCAGTGTTAGCAAGTCAAACCAAATTTCCCAGTAAACAGAGGGGGCTGGATCCAGATCCTATGGGAACTGATGGAGCCACTCCCGTTGATCTCAGCAGGCCTTCAGCTGGGCTCTGCAATTACAGAGCCAAGAGGAGATGCTGCTCTTGCAGAGAGATAGGTCACTACCTAGAGTAAGCCTTAATTTAAAATAATCTCTTTATTTCTTACACAATTGAACAATAACATCATCTAATTAAAACAAAGCCCATGATGTCCTCCGCTCTCTGCTGCTAGGCCACATCTTCGCCAGACAGAAAAGGAACAAGACTTCATCATTTTATAGAGAAGCAACCACTACAGAAAGAAGTCCCAATTTGTGCCATTAACCAATACCAGCAGAGTTCCTTCAAAGAAGCAGAGGCCTCCCAGAGATCAGGGCTCTGTGCAACAGTGGGAAATGGAACAGCGCAGACAATATGTACATTTTGTCCTGATTTAGTCCCTTCATATTTCCAGCTGGGGAAAACTTGCACCTTCCCCAAGTCTCTGCAGAGCTGATACCATCAGATTCAGCTTGCTGAAAAGGAGCCCCACCTTCACGCACCAGAGTTGGCATGAGTCTCTCGCTGACTTACTGATGTGCCTCAGGTGCAGCACCCTTTCCTCCTGCTGACATCTTCCAGCTGCAGGGCAGTCTCTCTCTGCCTGTCTTCCTGTGCTGTCAGCAACCTGGAATAAGCCGCACAGATCAAAAACACAACCTGGATACTGAGATCTTCCTGTCAAGGCTTTTTTCTGTGCCCTTGTATCCCCCATCAGCCAGGGCCATCGAGGATGTTGAAAGTGACTGGCCAAAAAGCTGGGCTTGTTTGGACACTGGGTAAACAAATCACACACAGAAAATAAGCATGAATTTGCAGGAGGGCAGGACCAGGGAGAAAGACTTGACATGTACAAGAAGAGACGGCATGGCTGTCAGAGCACCAGACTGGGGCTTGAGTGGTCTATGCTTTATTTCCAAGTTCCCTGACTGATGGCAGGATCCCAGGACGCTCACTTCACCTGACTGGGTCATCCCCTGCAGAGATAGGGCAATAAAGCACACCAAAGGCATGTGCTATGGGAGATGTGATTTACCTAGCTACTAAGTAAATCATCCCAGTTAATAAACAGCTAAGTCCTGCTGTGAATTTAACAAGATGATGCAGCAGGAAAGGAAGCAATATGAGAAAGCAAGAGGACATTTTTGTTACAAAATTTCAAGGATGCTTAATATAGTAGGGAAGAAAAACCATTACAGGTGCATACAGATTTCAAACTGAAAATTCCATCTTAAAATCTGGAATATTATACAAAGCTTTTCTGACTAAATATTCAAATTAAGCCCATTCACTGACCTGGCCATGTGCAGCATGGGCTCCACGATGTTATAGCCAGTCATCACGCTGCACTCGTAGAAGACAGCCTTGTATTCCTGCAGAGAGCAGAGCAAGGAAGGCCCAGTGTCTGCTGCAGGCTCCCCGCACTGTACACCAGCACCCTCGGGAGCCAGCCCTTTCCCCCTGCCCAGCACGCTTGCAGGGGTCACCTCCCTTTGCTGGGAGCAGCTGCTACCACTGTGCCCCCCACTGGTGGCACGGGCGAGACCCCACGTCCTGCTCACCTTCGTGGGAACATGAGGTGGTTTTTCAGCAATGCAGGGCCCAGCTGGAGCCTCCCACAGGGAACGCTGGGTATGAAGCAAGGAGCGACACCATTTCCACCCAGGGTACTTGGATTGTCTCACGTTTGTGCTAGAGAGCCCAGCACATGGAACAACTCTGAGACCCTGCCCTCCTTCTCCCACCCAGCAGGTGAGCGGTGAGGTGGCACCGGGCAGGCAAGCACAAGGAGCGAGGGAGGACTGTGCAGAGCATGCATTAGATGGGAAAACAAATGGGAAAATGGCCATGGATGTTTCCCCCAGAAAGGCTGGGCATCACTGTAAGGAGGCACCCAGCCTAAGCAGAAGCACGTGAGCATTCCCCAAGGGCCAGTGTCTGCCACTTGCTGGCCACCTCATCCTCCCTGGTACCAGAGGGACCTTGGCACGCGTTTGCATTGGAGAACGGGTGGGGGTGAGAGAGAAGGTACCATATTCGGAAACGGCTCCGAGTTCAGAAGGGCTCCCCTCCACCCAGGCTGCCCTGCTCACAGCCGCAGGGAGGCCGTAGAGCAGGAGAGCACAGAGTCACACCTTTGCCAGCCTTTCGCCCTCCACCTCGGGCACACTCCGGGCCCCTCTCAGCACAGCATCCGTTTTATTTCCAAGTAGAAAGATCACAGCTCCATCCTCGATACCTTCCTGCAAAAGGAACAGAGCAAAGCACCCGTGAGACTCGTCTGAGGGACGGAAATATCCTGGAGCAGATCCTGTTTCAGCCTGTGTAAACAGGAGCTTTGCCATTGACTTCAGTGGCAGCAGAATCAGGGTCCCTGAAGGAGCTGCCAAAATATTCCCTTCTGCTCATTAGAGACCATACCCTAGGGATTTGTGGGAGGAAGTCCTAACTATGGGAATATATTCCAAATGTTTGATGCGTACAGCTGGGGTGCCTAGAGAGGGGAGACAGGACTTAGTTCAAGTTCCTCTCTGGGAAATAAGAAGCCTAAAGAGGAGCAAATTTGCTCTACTAGGCTACTGGAAATTTAAGTTCAGACAGGGTTTCTTTTTAAGCTCAATAATTTTTCTTCAATAATTTCACCTGATGTACTGTCCTGAACTCAACTGTCCTTAGCTGAAAACCCACTGGCCAAGCAGGCTAAGCAACTTCCAAGCAGAGACCCTTTCTTGCATAGGGTCTCAGTAGCATCTGTTACTGCTAGATGATTTCTGGAGCCCATTACCTTACGTAAAACTCCCTCTAGTTCCACTGGCCCACTAGAAAATCACCAAAGGACTGCAGAATGTGATTCAAAATTATTTCCAAACTTAACTGCCCTGGATGATCTACAGTACCGAAACAGCTTAAGCTTCAAAACAAGATAAATGCGAAGGTAGAGGGAAGGAAAAGGGGAGAGATATTTAAAGGTTACAGATTTTAGACGCTTTGATTTTCCTGTGTGTTCAGTTTAACCTTCCTGAAGGGAGCCTGACTTTCAGAGGTCAGTTATTTTTGAAAATCTTAACCTTTATCTCTTAGAGACTAAAGAAATAGCTAACCATTTTTTCCCCAACAGGCCTGTGAAAGTTAACACTAAAACCCACCATCCTTTGCATATTCATTTCACTTTTTGCTTGACCTTTGAGACTTAGCACAATTAAAAAAACACTTGACAATTGAAACTCCTGACAATTTCACTTCAACTTTGAGTCATCTACACACAACATATCTAAATTATACAGATGAAAGCATTTCTGTCTCCCCTCACAGAGGCAAGTCACTCAAAAATAGTGATGAATGGTTTTTGTTGAGAGTTTGGGAGTAAAAATAGGATGAAAAGCAAAACTGTAGAGAAGTGGACACAGTCACCAAAAAAAAAAAAAAAACCAACAGTTAAAGCTACATCAAATGAGGAGGAAAAAAATAAATAGTTAAGAGAGAAGCTGTTACTAATGTTACACAGTCTCATCTAGAAATTTCAAAGCAGTCCAGCATGTGATTGCGCAAAGCACAGTCCATGCGTGCTGCAGGTCTGAATCTAAATGCACCGGGGCTGTGTCTCTTCCCTGCACGCAGGCTGGACACCAGGAGACCTTCTCTCCCCAGCACAGATCTGACATGACGGCGTTTAGGAGATGCTGCCAATGCACACGGGCTGCTTACAAACACTCGCCACTGTTCTGGCAGCTTCCACTGGCTTCCACCATAGAAACATCCCAACTCATTTAAGGGGGTACCACCGTCTTCCTTAGGACTACAAGTACCTGGTCCAAAACTCACTACCACAGGCGATACCCATAGCATCTGCTGTGATAATTCATCTTCCCAAGGCCAGCAGGATGTCCTGGGGCCTCCAAGAACATCGCTCCCAGGGGGGAGGCTGAAGCAGAGGCGGCAGCAGCGCCAGTGTCGGAGAGCCACGGCCCCGCTCTCACCTGGATGCTGCTCATCCAATTCCGCACTGCCGTGAAGGAGCATTCGGCCGTAACGTCGTACATCACCAGGATACCATCCGCCTTCCGGAAATACTGCTTGGTAATGCTCCGGAACCTGAGCCCAAAAGAAATCAAAGATGGTCCTAAAACCATAGCTGTGTAATGGCAGGAAACAGAACAGGATTATCTGTCTATTAGTAAAGGCTCTCTGCAAGGCCTGGCAGCCACGTGAGAGAGATACATCCCCTAAAGCTGGTGTGTGCACAGGCTGGTAAAGGGCAGGTCAAATCCATGGGACTTTGAGGCCCCATCTCTGCGGAGGGCCAGGCAACCAGGACTAAGCGGGAATCCTTCTATATGCATGATGCTGAGAAAGCAGGAAGGAAAACCTTTCCAGTTCAGGAGGAAGGAAATAGAGATAGGTCTGTTTAGGTGGGAGAGTAGAAAGTAATTGCCTATAAAAAGGGAAATGGGTGGAGAAAACATGACCTTCCCCTAAAGTCTGGAAGAATCTGCAGACTAAGCTGTACCACAGGGTAAATGAGGCTTGCATAATGTCTGCCCCAGTGCTGCCAAAGCAGCAATTAAGACCTCAGCATAGATATAGCCTGATACCAAATTCCAAATCTGATTTCAATCCATAAAGCAATGCCCTCATGCATAAATTCAACAGTTAAACAAAATTTCCAGGAGAAATTCCTACCAGATTTCTACTTGGTTCTGTGGGAACCTGTTAGAACCACAGACTTATATTTGGGGAAAAAACTCCAACTAAATAAACCCTCAAAATCTTAAGTATTTTATGGTAGAGCCACGACACAACATTACATTGCTTGCAAACTGTTGGAATTAAATGCAGGACAAGTACTGGGATCTCACCAGGGAACTGCACAGGATAATAAGCTCTGCTATACTATTAAGAGCCAAGAAAACCTATAGCAAGGAGTGATCTTCCTGAACTCTTTAGCTGATTGTCTGAGGCCTGTCCTTTCCCGCCACAAGTAAGGGCATGGCGTTCTAGCAACTACCCCGACTGAGAAAGCACAGACCTTATCTTTGGCAGGCAAGGTGCACCTCAGGAACTACAGGACATGCCACACACTCCAGAAGAAACACCAAACATAGTGTGAACCGGGCTCAGGGAAGTCACCAAGGACTTCTCCCACACATGCTCTGAGGAGTTCCTCTCTCTTCCACCTGATATTCGGATGGACACCTCCGATCAGAAGCAATTCATATTTCTCAAAAGGTAAGAAAAGTCTTTTTTCTTCTTCCCCATGTTTTATATTCAGGAAAGCTATTCAGCCAAGTTCTTCCTTGCAAGTACACATCTCAGACCTGCTAAAGTTGCAGAGGATCTTGGCCACACCCTAAACGGCCTTCTGCAGAGACAATACCTTGACTATAACCTCTGACGCAACCTGGCCTCAGTAAAATGTTACGTTTCATGTAATGACAACTCCCTCTCGCTGCTCAGCTTCAGCACTGAAATAACTGCAGGAGTCCCCTAGAAGGGAAATCATGCCTTCTTTGACATGAAGCTTGAATTTGGAAGGAAAAAAAGTTTGATTTTCAATACAGAACCTTATTTAATACATTCCCACTGGATCTTCATGGTCTAGCTGGCTGAGATAAACAGCATCGTTAATCTCAGTTAGCACAGCTCAAGGTTATACTCTTCCCATGACCTCAACCGCCTCCTTCAAAGTCTGGCCCCATACCATATTTAGCACAAAATACACAACGCTTATTTTTGCCAGACTCTGAGGGGAACAGCCCCCTTGAACTGGCTTTCAATCTTCAGCTTCAGAGTACATCTTAAATAAAACACAAGTTACATGAAGGTAGCGGTGGGCCTTCCTCCCTGGTAGCAGCTGAGGGTGAAGAATATCCTTCCACTACTCTGCTCCCCACCGAGCAGTGCTGGTGACAACCTCTAGTGCTGGCCTGTGCTTTTGAAGCTAGAGGTCAGCACAAGTGGATCAGAGAACAGGACATCTATCCGGAGTCTTTGGTTCCATCTCAGCTACAAAACCCTTTACACAGAGCATTTAGTCACCAGCTCTGTCCCATAGCTCTTCCCAGAAGCAGGCCAATACAGGCGAACTTCAAGGACTAGAGGAGCTCTCAAGCTCACTGTGCAGTCATTTATGGGAAGACTACTTGAAGCCACAAGCATAACGGTCAGGCATATGGAAACGTACTCTCCTGTCAGTCCTCAAAGCCATCTTCACCAGGTCCTGCTTGGCAACTACAACTTCTCTAAGTCTCTGGTGCGGACATTTGCCACAGCTCCAGCACCAGAATAGCTGCTGTGCACACTATGGTTCTCCTGCAACTGACAGTTTTCTCACAGATAGGATCCAGGATGTCCTTCCTATCACCCTCATCTCCTGTTTCCTACACTGAGCCTGGCGGTGGGGAATCTTCACGTAAATTGTTTACCTCTCTTGTCCAGCTGTATCCCACAGCTGTAAGGCAACCTGGGTGTTATCCACCATCAGACTCTTCACCTGGTAATCGACACCTGTCAAGGAGGTAACAGTGATCATAAGACAGGACGAGGAGAGAACAGCTTGCCATTGCAAGACCAATGAGCAGGATCAGCACTATTTAGTTCAGGGAAACTAGAAGATTGACTAGAAACTGGGAGGAGACCACCTTTACCCTTAGGGTTAGAAATTGCTTGGACTAAAATAGGGCGAAAAAGACAGGGTCCAAGTTGACATTCTCACTTCTCTTAGCCGGACAGGTCAGGAACCCCTTTACTTACCAATAGTTGCGTTGAGGTCTGCCAAGAACCTGTCATAGCAAAAGCGGTGGATGAAGGAACTCTTCCCAACGCCAGAGTTGCCCACAAACACCACCTTAAACATGCAATCTGGGGAACAGCTGGCTGTTTCCAGTGCCTGGAGCTGTCATGGAAGAAAAGGACGCAGTTTTGAGAAGCCCAGCGATAGGCTGCACTTTGACTTAGGCATCAGACCCCTGCCCTATAAACCAATGGAGCTGGAGTTAGCAGGGAAGAGAGTCAGGAGCCCTCAGGTCCCTGGTAGCAAGTGTTTGAGGAAGAACCGCTAGTCATGAGACTCACCCTGGTTTCCGTGCCAATGGGCTGTCCTCTAGGAGGCAATGGAACATCATCCGATCCATCTGCTGTTTTTCTACAGTCAGCATCACCCTTCAAAGTCATCTTCAGCATCTCAGTATCTGCTGCTGCTGACCACCTCGCCTCATCTCTACTCTTCTCTCCAAAGTTTGTGCCGCTGCCTTTTCCCAACTTCAACCCTGTCCCATTGCCTGGGAAGTATTTACAGTTCTTCCTGTTGGGTTCCTCCATTGCCACATCCACAGGAAAGGTGAAGGCAAGGTCCGCAGAAGCCAGTTGTCTGTATCAAAGCCCACGCGCACCACAAACAGGATTTGGGGGTGGGGGAGAAGAGGAGGAGGAGGTCGCGAGTCCCCAGAACAACCAGTGTGATCCAGTTAGTACCAACGATATGCTTGCAGGAACTCTATCTAGTTCACATACACTACTCCCCATACTACCTCTGACTAAGACACCAGCTGCACCCCGGGGGAAAGAGAGACAGCTCACTTGGCCTATGCTGTACTCATATGCGAAAACATGTATTTCATTAATTTTAATAAAAACTTCCCACCTTCTGGATTTTTCAAGGCTTCTTTGCCTCCTGCTTCCCCCAGTACTGAAAAATGGAACAAAGTACATAAAGTATGCAAGTACAGTGGCCACTGGAGAAAGACAAAAGAAAAGCAACAAAAAGCCCTCTATCTTTGTTACCAAAACAATGCAAAAAGAAGTGACAAAGGTTTCCAGATAAGCAAAAATAATTCTGACTGCAGAATTTAGGGTGAGGGCTGGCTGAACACCCAGACGAGGCCGTGTGCTGCGGCGTGCGTGCATGTTACTGCCCTCTGCTGAAGGCACACAGCCTCGCTCCCGGAAACAAGCCCATCACTTCCAAACACTGCTGAAGGAGTCTTACTGAGTCAGGAGAGCAGAAACCCGCTGGCCACCCCACGTCCTAGCTCTCTTGCCGCAGGTGTGCAAATTGCAGTGAGACCCTCACATCACGGCGCCTGAGCTGGCCACGCTAGCGAGCCTGGGTGCTGCTGCTGTACAGCTCCGGCAGCCCAGGGCCCGCAGGGTCTGCAGAGGTGGGTGGGCAGGCAGCGTGAATTTCTGTGCTCCTGCAGCAACACTGCTTGCAGCAATGAGGTACGCGGGCACATCTACCTGAAACACAGCAACCACCCCAGAGCCCTGTCCTGGAGCAGTCGTATTCCTGAATTCCCATGTCATTTGGCACGGTGTTGACTCTGCTCTGGCCTGCATCCACGCCTGGCCCAAAGTCAGAGGGTCGGGACCTGACGGACATTTGTTCCTCCAAGCTTCCAACCCGCCACGCTGCTCTCAAAGGCAAAAATCCCCTGGACCCCCTGCTCGAGCTGTGGTTCTGTGGCATAGGTGTTATACTGGCTGTGATTGCACAGGAGCAGGCTGACACACGTCATCTACTGTGGCAAAGTAAGTGGAGGAACATTTTTTTGACAGAAGCAGCCAGAATAACCGATTTAAACTACTGGAACCATTGCCAAGGAGCAAAGAAGCATCTTAGATCTGTTGCGCCTCTCCATCGTTAAAGAATTAAAGGAGGAAGTGAGAAGGCTTAGAATGCAACCAAAGGACTTTATCCACCACAGAGATCTCCGTTACCTTCACTGGCCACCAGACTGGGTTTGAAAGCAAAGAAGAGAGACCAAAGCCTTCCTACAGTGTTTGTGCAGAGGCAGAACGTCCCACCTCTTTGCAACTTTTTCACTAGGCACAAGTGCAGGAATGAAGGCAACAACTCTCCTCTTTCACTCCTAAGGGTGCACCTCACTAGCGCTGCAAAATTCCTCAACTGCCAAGCCTACGCTTTTTCTGTGGAAGGCAGTTCACATCCCTGGTCTTCCTCCCTGCATCTGCCCAAACGATGGGACAGAGCTGGGCCAGTTGAAACTTCTCCCCATGGAAAACAGACATGTCCTCCTGGGCTCAGGCTCTCAAGGGACAGAAGGGTGCACAACCTTCTCCCATCTCCCAGGGCCAGCAGGAGTATCAGCAATGAGGGGATGAGAGTCAAAAGCCTCTTCAGAGGAAAAAAAAGGGACCAAAAAAAGGGATCACAGCTTGGAGTCACTGTTCAGTAAGTTAAGACTAGTGGATTTTATTTATGTTTCTCAAGCAATGTGATGTGAAACAGTACTGGGACAGAGACAGGACCAACAGGTACTTCTCTCTTTTGCCCATCACACTCTCTGCCAGGCTTCTCTACCCACTAAGCCTTTCCAGTTGGTTTATGCCAGCAGCAACTAGCATGACCTCTGCAAGAAATAGCAGCAAGGGTGGAGGAAAGGAGGGAAAAGGAGAACTTGGGTGTTTGGTCCAAGGAATGGCACATCTGTCAGTCACCCAGCCAGGAAAGAGATCTGCGCCAGACCTAGCCAAGTAAAGCCCCGACCTCAGCTAAAGAGTCAGGCCTGCTCCACAGTTAACTTGTTTTTCTAGCAGTCAGATGCCTGAAGCTCAATTCCTAAAGGCCACTAGCAGAACAGCAAGTGTTAAGGCTAAGTTGCACCTGGAAGAAACTCTCAGCCTAGATCTACAACTCTGGTTGGCACCAAGAGAAGCCACAGAGGGCTGGGAACTTTCCACAGCGACCCGGTAGGAAACAGGGAAATGTGCAGCCTTAAAACCTGTCTGGGGCCAGCTGATCCAGGGGAAATTCGGTTCCAAGCCAGGTCAGGGCTGGACTGGCCTCCCCAGCCTGTCAAAGGAAGCAAGCTTTTGGCCAATGCACATGTGCAGAGCCCGCACGTAGTTTGCAGTGGCTGAATGCTTAAAGCCGGCACAGTTCAGGCAAGCGTGTGTACACGGCTATTGAAGCCACTGTACTACCTGTAAGTTAAAAAAGAAAAGCATGTTTGGGACCACACAGGCATGTTTATCTGCCCTGGCTGAAGGGGAGGCCTGATGTGCCAGGTGAGGTGTCTGTGCAGGTGCGGAGGGAGATGGGTAGGATGAACTCTCCTGGAGCTGGGCCTTCTCCTTGGGGCTTTCAGCTGCTGGAGAGAACACAAGCCTTGTGCAACTCCTGCTCTTCGCCATGCTCTGGGGACACAGTCTGTGGCACGAGGCAGCAGTGGACAGGATTTCTGCCCAAGAAGGAGCTGGCACGTGTGGAAGACAATCCAGTCATTTTAATGGAGCTGCCTGGCTGAGTCATAAAGGCAGCTTTCCTGACTCCCATCCCATAAACACACACCCTCAGCCTCTGATGGCATTTAGATTTGCTCCCCCATTACTGCACACAGAAGCAACCCAGAGCAGGGGCACCACAGCGTGGAAGTTAACTAAGGCATCCTTAGCTCCCCACCGAGACACCATCTCTTTGCGCCAAGAGGCAGTTGGAGCCACATCCAAGCCACATCCCGCCACTCTCCAAAAATCAGCCAGTGCTGAGGGGGAACCAGACGCAGGACACAGTTTGACTGACAGGGGACTCCAGTGGGCACAGACTAACACCACAAACACAACACAGATGCCCATCTAACCGTTTGACCGGCTTGTCGTCCAGCAGGTAACTGCCTAGCACTGACCCTTTCTTCAACAGGGGCTTTTTGCTCTGAGGCGCCTGGAAGTTGAAAAGAGAAAGGATGAATAACGCAGTTAGGAGCCAGGAACCTGACCAGCCCCAGTTCAGCCACTCGCCACCTTTGTGACCTTTTTGGGAGGAGGGCTGGAGCCCTTCCAGGCCTGGGACGTCTGGTGGTGGAGCCCAGCCTGAGGCTTTGAACAAAGGTGAGCACAGGGCTTGCTTTCTCAGTTCAGCTTGTTTAGCTCATGCAAGAAGGCACCACTGATGCTGCTTTCCCCTTTGCCACAAAATACAGCAAAAATGATGGTACCCCAAACTGTAGTCCTTCTCAAGACAGCCAGAGCTGTCCTTTCTACGGCTTGACCTCCAGCTTGTGTCACAGCTGAATCTTTCCCCACCTGCCCTTTTATTATGTCGATGATTTGTGAGAAAGATCAGTTGCCCCTTCTCCAGAAGGCACCGCTACCTTCCTCCTCAGGTACTCACCCATAGCTGCGCAGGCACCACAGAACAGCCCGTAAGAAAGGAGACTGCTCTGCAAAGGGCAGTGTACGTGGTCTGCCTTGCACGTACGTTCCTCTCCATGCTTTCCTCCTACTTACCTCCTCAGACTAGCACACTCCCTACAGCCAGCATTTACCAGCTTCCCAGAGAAGGAGAAAACAGAACAGTTTCTCTCCCAACCCTCCTCCTCCAGATAAAGCAGCTTCATCATCCCCAGCAGAGTTAAAGATAAGTAGTTTACCCAAGATCACTCAGGAAAGCCTATAGCAGAGGGGGGATGACCTGCCAGCTCTCCCAAACGCTGGGCTAAAGCCTAGCCTCTCTGTCTCACACAGCTGGGCTAACTGCCCTGCCCACCCACAAAACATGAAATAAGGTACAGCATGGCAAGAAGCCCACCATCCTGTTTCTGGGGGAAACGTACTTGCTCTGTAAGTCTAGATTTCAGACACATCCTCACCAGGTATTTCTGGGGGTAAAGGAGGGGAAAGGAGTTTGCAGCCAGATCAGTTTTGAGCTGACTGAACACCTGCAGGCAGCTCCTGACAGGCCTTCCTTCGTGCTGTGCACAGCCCAAGGGAAGACTGTAAAGATTACTCCTTCAATAACCCCCGGGCTTATTTTAACAGGCCAAAAATTAAGAAGTTGCTCCATGGGTCAGAACTCCCAGAACACCTTTCCCACAGTGCAATATAACAAAAGGAGATACTCTGGCCTCCAGAGAAGGCCTCACTCAATTAGGAACTTACAGGAAAAAAAACAAAAACATTTACTGCATATAAAACTGATGTTCAGGAGACGCTCCAGACACAGAAGCAATCCAGCACTGAGAGCCATCTATCTGCAATTTCATTTCCAGAGCAAGGGAAAAGGAAGTAGTTTAAAACAAACAAAGAAACCCACAAAAAGAAACCAACCCACACACCTCAAGTGTCCTACAGCCAACAAGCACCTGACCTTGCTGGTGGTACTTGGTGCTGCCTGGCCCTGGGGTGCTGTAGGAGGCTCACAAACATGGGGCACACATCTTCCAAGCCAAAGGACACTCAAGTCTGTAGTGACCCATCTGCCAGCACTGATATTAGGCTGCGGTTCAGCCAACCAGCGGTTCTCCAGTGGGAATGGAGGAGAAGGAAGCTTTCAAGGTTTGTGCTGGGAACAGCAGGTTCAGTCAAGGGCACTCCCTAGGCATGTGGGAACAAGGAAATCACATTACAGCCCACTGGAGGTTCAGCTGAGTCGCAACCTTCGGGCAACCTGCTACTGCATTGCCTTACTTAGAGATGAAACACAGCCTGCGGAGTACGTACCTGGGGAAGAAAGAAGAAACAACCGGGTGCATTTTCCCATTGGTTCTGCCATGCTTTATTGGCTTGCCAGGTTTATGTAACATTTGGCTTTTCACAGGGATGGTAAAGGGACAGATGCAACATTGCAGCTGTACAACACACAATACCAAGGATTCCACAATGACAGCACACTTACGGGCATTTCGGATGGGGAAAAAAAAAAAAAAGCATTTTCTAGTTTGTCAGCAAAATGCAAATACATGTCCAGCGTAGTCAAAGTCCCAAAACATTCCTCAAGATGAGCGGACATGAAGTTTGCTCACTCAGGACAAGACCTCAATCACCAAACAGCGTGCAAGTGTAACACTTACAGCCAGATGGGTCATGGGCGCAGCAGGAACCTGCAACCCCAGGATCTAAAGAGCACCTGCAGCCTGGCTTGTGCACAGGCAGCAACGTGGCCATTGCTGTGACGTGGCCACTGGAGATAAACATGCTCCACAGCACTGGGGGGCCAGGCCTGCCCACCCTGGCAAGGCCAGAAACTCTTACAAAGAGCAAGGTATTAAACTGGACACTGAGAAGTGCAAAGGAGCACTGGTCAGGTTGCCATCAGCCACATACAGCCCAAGACTCCTTCCAATCACTTTAACATCTTTACTATGAAAGAACCACTGTTCATCACACCTTCATTTCACAGAAATAACACAGTCCTTCCCAGCACTGACAGAGGGTGTTATGGACAAACATGTTTTTACAGGCTAAAAAGAAATCTATGCTCTCTGCTAGGGAGCGTGCCACACACAAGGAATCCACATCAGAAGGCCACAGACTACCCTTTTTGCTGCTGCAGGCAGTTATTGTTATCTCCTGTCCCCCTTACAGTCTAGAAGGCAGATATTCTGTAGATGCTAGATGATAGCAGCATCTCTGCAATCCCTGGGAGCCCTGCTTTCCCGCAGACTGCGAGTGACCAACAGGCTCTGGCTGTTAAAGGGAAAAACCTTATTCCAGTATAGCTTTGATCTGCCTGGCAAGACCCAGTCTTGCCAGATGAGCAGTGTCGGTAGCTGGAGTTCACCCTGCTGCTCCATCCCTACTGCCTGCCCAGGAAGGAGAAGGGCAAAAGCAGCTCCTCTGTGCCATGACTGTCTCCTGCCAGGCTCTCTCTTAGGCCCCATCTGCAGCTGTCCTGTTTCAGATCAGACCTGAGCAGGTCCTAGCAGGGGAAAAGACAGAGGAGGACAGGAGAGATGCACCAGCTTTGCACACACACAGGCACCTACCCATAGGCCACCCACCTCACCCACAGGAACTCAAAAGCTGCTATAGCTTTACACATGGAAGAGTAATAAACTGTGTTTATTACTTTACCGGAGGAAGCAGTAAGCTTGGTGCACACACACACATGCAAGCACACACAACACACCACAGCTTTAAAAAAAAAAAAAATAATAAGATCCCCCTTCAGATTTCAGAAACGTGCACACACAGGCAGGCACACACACTTCACCTCCTTGTGATAATTATTGAAGTTCTTCTCCTGAATAGAAAGCAGCTGTGTAGAGACTCCACCCAGCAGGTGCCCCTCACGAGGTTAAAGGGCAACTCCTATCCTACCCAGGCCCCATCCCTGGGCCTTCTTTCATGTTCCCCCCCACATCAGCCACTAAGGACATAGCACATCTCTTGCAGCCTACTATTGGCTGTCATCGCTGCAAGACAGCTGCTTCCAGGCCTTCAAGTGCAGCATGGTTGCAGAGCAGGGAAAGGAACATGGGAGCAGGGATGGGTCCCGAGAAGGGCACAGAGCAGCCTTGGCAGTGACATATGGGAACGCAAAGACTTTTTCCATGAAAAAAAAAAAAAATGTTAAAATAGATCACATGCCCGTACTTATCTTGGAGGCTGGGAAAGGCTAGTGATGGAGTTGACTCTCTCAGATGCTTCCCAGGGCCAACAAGTGCTCATATTCCAAGCAGGCTCCCCGCTTCCTCCTACTCCTTTGATACAAGGCTTAAAGTTGCATCTCCACCAGAGCAGAGTTCACAGGAATGGGGCAGCTGCCCCAAAGGGAACATCTGAAAACATCTGCTATGAACTCAAGGGGTCAGAGATGAACTCTAACACCCTCCTATCCCCCTGCCACCTCCAGGGCAGCACATCTGGGAATCCATCTTCTTCCTCACCACCCAGCTCCAGGGATGCATCCAACTTCACTACTCTCCTTGCATGTGCCAAGTGCCTATCACAAAGCACAGGCCTGGCACGTGCAGCAGGCAGCACCCCACCGCAGCCCCACAGAGGGCTGCGCCACAAGTCCCAGGCTAACGTGCCTTGGTTTGAACCCGGGCAGCTGGAGAGAGCAAACAGTGTAACTTCTCTCCAGCTCTGCTGTGAAGTCTGTACTCGTGCACTACACCAGGCCTCATGAGCTCAGGTCATTGTCCCCCGTGGAAGTGACAGGCCCCCGAGTGGTGACAGCAACAGCAGCAGATGAAAGAAGGGCGCTTAGGAATTAGGATTTTCTTTCTTAGACTAACCAGCTTCTTGGCTTCAAAAGTGTCTCGCTCATCTCGAAGTTTCTTGTTCATCTCTCTGCTCCAAAGGAAGGCACAGGAGAGAGACAAAGAAGCACTCATTGAAAATGGGGTAAAGACCAACATTTGAATGCTAGGAAGGAGAGGGAGCTTGGGTCACAGATAAAGATGCTCTTTATTGCCAGACAGGCTGGGACTTCCATCTGTTCCACCGCAGTTAATAGGCTTCACATGGCCCCTTTAGTCAGCAAGAAAGACTAAACCCCTCCAGTGGAGGGATTAGTTGGTGCAATAACATAGCCTGTGCTCTACTGGAGCTGATCAGATTGCACAATACTGTCTGGCCTTAGGAAAACAGGCAGTATGTGAATGCTGCTTGAATACACCCCCATAGCTTCCTATGGAGAGAATGAGCACAGTGCTGAAACCTCAGCACTGCCGCTGAACCAGCGAATGGGCTTGGCAAGAAAAAGACCATCGGAAAGAAAGGACAATTCCCCATTCCCACCGCCAAACAAACCATCAACTTTGCCAGCCAGACTCCCAAGAGCAAGCAAACAGGTTTTGAGTCTCCATTACACACCAAGGGCTCAGTATCTCCCAGCACCCCTGTGCTTACCTGAGGAGCTCTAGCTGCCGAAGGAGGCTCTGCTTCTCTTTCTGCATGTTCTTGGAGACTCTGAACACATCCCTGTGTGAAGGAAATTTAAAAAGTGGAATTTAATGGGAAAAGAAATATAAAGATCCCTTTCTCGGGGACATTCATGGTATTTGCAAAGATACAGGCCTGCCCTTTGCTAGGATGTTTTAGTGGAAGAGGCACAGCTGTGAAAGCCAGGACACCTGGGTTCTATCTCAGCTCTCCTGCTCCTCTTCTGTGTGAGGGTAGATAACCCGTTTTCCCCTTTTCACCCTCCAGTTTCCTCAACTGCTAGAGACGGGAAGAATGCTTACTGCCATCTGGAAATGAAATACCCGAGTGAAAAGCAGTTGCGTATTATTAGATAAAGCTCCGAAACAGGCACACAAGTGATTAGCATAGGATCTGTAGGAACTTTGCAGAGGTGATGGTGAATTGGAAAATACAAGGAGGAGAAGCCTCCTTTAGACTGAGGGACCCTTGTATTTTTTTTTGTAGTGCTTTTATAGCCAAATATCAATGAACAAATTCATTTCCCAATAAAAGCAGGTGGGAGATGGCAGTATCACTCCCTGTTGAGGCTCGTAAGATCACTGGGGTTACTTCTCCTCCTCAAGAAGAGGTAGGCAATCCTCTGACAGGATGAAAGCTTCTAATTAGAGATCCTTATTCTTTAATTACTTGCACCATCTTTCCACTGTCCTGCTCTTCCTGCCTGCCCCCACCTGTCCTTCTGCTCCTGTTCAAGCTGGGCCTCTTTCTGGAGCTTCTGTAATTGCCCCTTCGCCACTTCCAGCTCCCCTTTGCTCTTCTCCAGCTCTTCCAGGAGGTTTTCATTCAGGTGCCGGAGCCTTTCATTCTGCACCCGGGTCTCTAGCTGCTCTGAGTTCAGAGACTGTAGCTGATGCTCTAGCTGCAAGAGAAAAGGAGGAAGAGGAGGAAGGGTTAAATACAGAGAGGAAGAGATTTGTGCTACAGTTGTGACTGCAAAAACAGACTGAAAGAGCAGATATAAACAAGGAGGCAGAAGTGAGGTAAAGACAACTTAGGTCTACGAGATTACCCGTGGTGTCAAGAAGGTGAACAGGAAGCAATTATTTCTCACCGGTGTCGGCACTGGGGAGCAAGCAATGCAATTAAGCCAAGCATAGCTAAGGAAGCACTTCAGGCAGCGTGAGGAACTTGTTGCTCTCAGGCATTATGGAGATCAGAGTGCAAATGGGGGTGAAAGAAGGACTAGAAAAATTTGGGGGGGGAGGGGGGAGGGAGGGGCAGAGGTGTGTTTTTAAGGAGTTTTTAAGCACTGATGTTGAGGTTCAACTTCTGGTTTAGGGACTTCCTGAGCCTGTGGCGGGGGGGGGGGGGAAGGAGGGGCAGAGGTGTGTTTTTAAGGAGTTTTTAAGCACTGATGTTGAGGTTCAACTTCTGGTTTAGGGACTTCCTGAGCCTGTGGCAGGTGAAAGGTGGACATATCAAAGTGCATTGGGCATGTCATGCTACACAGGTCCTGCTTTAAATGTTGACATATGGAAAGTCAAGCAAGTGAGTGGCCTTCACTCTAGGCCAAGCTCCTGATGGAGACAGGACCTCTGTTTTGTCCCAGTGTGTTGTTTTTATACCACCGGGGCACAGCTCCACTCTAGACAGTGCAACAAGACATCGGCATAACTAACAAGCCTGATTTGGGAAGTTCTACGCCTGCTGTCCTGTACTTAACCAGTGACTTGATTCATCGCAACATATAAAATGGCTGGGGGGGCTTTAAGGACAGAGAAGCAGCAGTCAGATCCACTCCTCTCAGATGATGAGCAGGGCACTGCTGGAAGGATGGTACTGACACTTCGGGGTCGAGTCAGCCATTCCAGCTAACCAGGACCCTCTGCTGAAGTCGGTGCTATGCAAAAATTATGGTCCCCATCTGAGAACTTATAGCTCAAATACAAAATCATGCAATTGTTGCTTTGCAACCGGAGAGGAGCACCAGGAGGCAGTTCTGGTCAGTGCAGTAGGTGGTAGCGTCAGCCTCCCCAGGGTTCAAGGCCAGGGGGTTGCAACAGAGACAGCAGCATGAGCAGAACAAGGCACCGGAAATCACGCTTCCTAAATCTCACTCAAAAAATTCTCCCAGCTTACAGCAGCCCACTCCCACACCAGGACCACAAAGACTGACAGAACTTTGGCTGGGACTGTCAAAGAGCTTTTGAGAATTGAACAGCCACCATCCACAGCTGCGGTCCCCCAGGCTGAACAGGCTCCTGTTCTCAGAAGTTTTGAGCATAGAGCTTAGCCCTCTAAATAGCATGTGTGACAACTTCTTGCCACCTAGAAAGTTAGGCAAGGGCACAGGGAGATGCGATTTCAGCACAGAACAGGGTCTCTTGTGGAAACCCATGCATACTTTAAGCCTGCCTTGTTTGTACCTTCAGGTAAACTCTCAAAGGGAAATTAAAGCAGCACACCATGGCACAAGCTGAAGTGCTTTTCCCCTTGCTGCCCTGCTCTCAGCAAACAATGCTCATGAAGGGGAGTGAACAGAGCTGACCTTTCCCAGGTCCCTAGAAACAGCAGCCCCACGTCCCTCCCAGCTGAGGCTACAAGCACAAGTCATGCCCAGCTCTGCCTGGGGACTTCCAGTCCTTTGGACCACACTCTGGGCAGTGGAGTCCAGTCTCAGAGAAACAGCAACTCCATCCCACAGCCTTTAGGTCCCTTAAGTAAGGCAGGGGACAGGCTTTCAGTAAAACTCCTGTCCCTCTCCGAGAAGTCTCTACTACACAAAATTCATCCTATTTTATGTTGCGTGTAGTCTGAAGTGATACTGTAGAACAGCATACTCACAATACTGGACTTGCGCCACAAGAGGGACCTGATTATCCACAAAGCTTGGTACAAGCCTCAGAGTTAAGAGCACCCAAAACGCCCATTTTGGTCAGAATAATGGTCCATCTGGCCCAGTATTCTCTGACCATAGAAAGAGGAGATGCTATTTAGGAAGAACATATCTGGACACGCTAAGGGCCACTCCCCTCAAACATCCCCAGCATCTACAGTCCTTGGATTAGGGAAGCTAGAGAGGCTATATCCCTGTCCACTCCTCCTTTTTGTAACCGTTTATGAGCCTGTTGCCCATTAGTTTGGCCAGTCCCTTTCTGAACTGCTGATACTGTCTGCCTCCACAACCTCCTGTGGCAACAAATTCTAGAAGTTCACTAGTCGCTGTGTAAAGAAGTATTTTCTTTTAAATGACTTTCATACTAGCTTTATCAAGTGTCCCCCAGCTCCGCTGGTACAGGGCTTAGTGAATAACAGCTCCACACGCACCTTATCCACCACCTTCCCGATATGGTAGAAACTCAGTAACAACCTCCCTCAGTAACCTCCTCTCCAAAATGAAGAGTCTAAGCTTTTCTAGTCTCTCCTCATAAGATAGATGCTCCATCTCCTTAATCATTTTAGCTCTCTGTACCTTCATATCTCAAGTAGGACACAATGGAGTTAGAGGAGACCGGAGTTGCACAAGCGCTTGAGAAATGGGCACACTGAGGTTGTGGGTAGCAGGAAAACGTCCTCTATCTTATTCTCAGTATCCTTTCTGATAGCACTCAAAGTTCTGCTGGCTTTTCTGGCTGCTGCACTGTGCTGGTGTTTTCAGAGAACTGCTGTTTCATCATCATCGCAGCTAGGTACCCAACTGGGAATCCCCAAGTTGCCAGCATCTTTCAGGTATCTCCCACAGCCTGTTTCTCTAGGGTCATGCCTGGGTTCTTCAGAGGAAAAGGAAAGACTCAGAATACACAGTCCTATACAAATACACATTCCATGGACAGTAGGTCAAAGGAAAGTTTCCACTTTGATCTCTTTGGTGACTGATTAATCAGTACGTCATTAGGTGCTGAAGTGCAAGTGTACAGTACGTACAGCTCTAATTGTCATAGAACTGCTAGGCTGTTTATTTTAAGCCAGATGAAGTGTTTTTTACCCTGGGTTATTCTGGAGTAGCCAGAAAACACAGACCAGAGAGATTTGGCTCTTGCATGTCCATAAACAGCTTTCTTACAGGCCATGGAAGGCTCCAAACTCACAACTTCTAAATCTTTACCCAGTCTTCCTTGCCAAGTAAAGTTATTGTCAATCTGATGGGAGGAGTACAAGAAAAGAAATCAAAGCAGATAAGAACATGAGTGTGGGGGGGAGAAACGTCCAAGGCAGCCATTACAGCTGAAGAAGACAAACCAATCCACTTCAACACCTTCAGAGACTGGCAGAGAACTGGACTAGCTAGCACCAGCCCATAGCAGATGAAAACCATCCTCAGTCAGAAGAGGGCGCAGCAGAAAGACACTAGAAGGTGGCATGCTTCTTTAGAAAGGCTTTGGGCCCTGTTACCTTCTTCTGGCGGTAGAGGATTTTCTCTAGCTCCTGCTCTTTGCTATGCAGTTCCTTCTGAAGCAGATTACTCCTGTCATGTCTCAGTGCTTCCTGCAGCAGTAAAGATACATGGCTATGCATACAACATCCAGCACGGTAAGAGCTGTTCCTTGGCCACATAAGCCACCAGCCATTCTTCAGACCGGAGAAAGTTTGAGGACTCTCCAGTCAAGAGAGACGATGTACCTGGCAGATCAGCCTCTCCCTTTCTGCTTTGATCTGTTGCTCCATTTCTTCATAAAGGCACCTGACTTCTCGGTCATGGTCTGTCTCCTTCCTACAAAAGGAAGGGTGCAGGCAGGTCAGGACAGAGAAAGAGAACGCAGAAAGAAAACAGGAGAGGAGAGTGGAGAAAGGTTCCTACTAACAGCCGATTGCAAGGTTAAGTACAAAGGAGTGTGGCAATGCCAAAAACATATTGGAATGGGATTTTAGCTGGACCAAGTGTTATGGGTTGGCATTAATACAAAACAAACTGTGGGGATCAGATCAAGATAAAGTCATTTCATTCACAGCAAAAAACATCTCACACTGTCTTGTAACACAGTCTCCACTTGCATTTGAGGCATCAAATTGCATCAACCGGCTCCTGAGAGCAAGTGGTCATGACATTCTCCTTACCGCTTCAAGGCCTGCTCCATAGACTCCTTCTCATGATGTGCCTCCCTGATGTACGATGAAACACGCAACAGAAACTCCTCAAAATTGGACAAGAGCTCTGGACGCTCCTTTCGTAGCCGGACCCAGAGCTCCCGAACCTCGCTTGGACTGGAGCAAGCATACAAGAGAGAAGGAAAGCAAATGAGTTTATTAAATTGTTATTCCAGTTCCAATATGCATTCAGGGACAGGTGGACTGCCCTTCTCCCATGACCTTCTGCATTACACCACCATAGCAAAGAGGGAGGGTAAATAGCAACCAAGTGATGTGGAGTGAGATCTACTGCCATTATTGGTTAGCAAGAGATTAAAATAGAGGAAGTAATCTAAAGAAGAAAAGTCACCATGAAGCAAATCTGAAATTACTATTTTTCAAGTATTCAGTAATAATACATTTAGTGTGTAAACCAAGATTTGAAGATCGGAACATCCAGCAAATTTGTTATGAGCTGTGATCAAGCAGCAAACTATTATAATCCAATGGTTTTTAGTGCACATCACCTAGGTGTAATCCTCACACCAAGACTGTACTGGTGGATGCTAATGTCCTTGTCAGTTGTTGTTTTTTTTTTGTTTGTTTGTTTGTTTTTTTACACACAAGTGTGGAAACTAAGGCATAAGGAAAAGAAGCTGATGTCCTAAGGTGTCACCTCAAGTTTGCAATAGAGGAAGCCCTCGAAACCCAAAGTCTTGACTTTCAGAGCCTGCAATAACCATTACACTGTACTGGCATTTAATTCATCACAGCTAGAACACAGCACTTTTAAACTTTTTCTTTCCCATAGAGTCTCTTAAGCCAGCAGGGACTGAGATAACCCTTCCTGCTTCTCTTCAAAGGCTTTTTGGGGAAAAGCTTTTTTTTTTTTTTAATCCATGACACGCATAGGAGGAACTGCCATTAAATGTACAAAATAATTATACTCATAGACATTATTTGGGTAGAGATTTTTCTTTGTGTATATATTTGTCTCCCTTAACATTCTTTGTGCAAAAACAAAAAACATACCAAGAAGCCCTTGATATCCCCCACCACCATCACAAGATATTCTCCCTTTTCTTCCTCCCTCAAGTTGAAAGTTACTAACACTTCATCAAAATCTCATTCTTTACATAACAGAAAATATCCAGTCCTACTTATAAACAAACCCATCCTTCTTCAGCAAAAATAATGAAGATAGACAGGACAGCCACTACATCACCTCCAATTAGCTTCTGTTTTGTGTTAATTCTTTACAACAGCTGGCTTGGCACAAAAGCTTCACATGAAATAGCTACTGAACTCATTGCACAAAACCGCAAGTAAGTGGTCAAAACAAAACACAGGATAACCCCACTTTAAAACTTGATGCTTCTCAAAGCAAGAGTTGTAAACAGCAGTGACTATTTATCCAGGACAGTAACATAGCCTTTCACAGGGTCACCCCGTTACTCAAGGCATATCAGCCTTCCAGAATTTTTCTTAACAGGAGGAAGAGCTTAGCCTTAGAAGACACATGCAGGTGCTTTGCATCACAATGCAAATGAGAGAAAAATTCTGTTTTGTGACAATGCAGCTCTGCAAGCAGCAAGCTCCTGCGCTCTCAGCTTCCATCAGTGACGGTCCCTACATGGGACAGGCTGCTCCCTGCAACCTGGCAACACTGCTGGACTACAATGCCTGAAAGAAAGGGCTGCCACGGATGCTGTTGGGCCACCCCACTCAAATTTCAAGGCTCAGCTGAGCATCCCTTGCCCAGCTTGGCCTCTCACCCTTTTCAAGGCCAGCCTAGTCCCAAGCAGCCCCTTGAGCACAGCTCTTTCACACAGTCTCTTAGAACTAAGGTTGTCTGAACATACGTGAATGATGACATACCATTTTGGAAGAGACAGCACACTTGTCCTCCTCACCTGATCTAACTCTCACATACTTGTTTTGATTTGCTGTGTGCAGACAGGTTTCCATGTCACCAACTGCGACATTTTACAGCTGTAATATGAATTTATAGTTTGGGAAGCTATTCAAGAAAAGCTCTGCCGTAAAAGCAATTGATAACTGTTCGATGAGATAACCCAGACTTCACTGCATTTGTTACTGAGCATAAGAAAACACAAGACCGCAAGACAAAAAGCCCAAACTGCTTCAGAGACAAGCAGCTCTGTCCACCTCCTTGGACTTTGCGGGTACTCTGAACTTTTGGTATTGCAAGATCAAGGCGGGTAGAGGTGAAGCCATGAGGTTCCCCAACGTACTCGTCAAACACTTGGGCTGCTCCAAGCTGCTCCATCACGGAACAGAAACGTTTCTCTTCTTCATCATCTGCCGGGTCCATGTCATCTGACCAGCCTGACTCAAAGGTCTCCTCATGTCTGGAGTGATCTGTGCTCCCAGTTCCTTGACACAATTCAATCCCTATTAACTTCTCTGGTGGAAGGAGAAGGGAAGAAGGGGAGGGGGGGGAAAAAAAGTCAAGTTGGACATCATTTACTTGTGTCATTGTGCTATTTAAATGGCAACCTGACACAGCTCCATGAGAAGCTGCCTGCATGCTGTTATTGTAGAATACAGCTCTTGGTCAGTAAAGAGCCTCCGTTCTGACATCCTGAGCAATGTCAGCTTCCAATCTGCAAGGCTGGGACTGAAATAGGCTTCCAGCCTGACTACGAGCTCCTCCTGCGCTGCTCGCACCCAGGCTGAGATGATGTACCACCCGCGCGGCCTTGGAGTCTCAGTACGAGAAACATTTGGCATTAGCTCACTTCACTCCAGTGGAGGGGCGCTGGGGGTCCAGTTGCCAATGGTCCCTGGTCAAGGGCCACAAAGTCACCCTGGGATTGCAAGCCAGGCACTGAATAGCTCCGTGCCTCAGCTTCCCCAGCTAAAAAAAAAAAAAAAAAGAGGTGGTGGGGAAAGAGATAATCACCCTTCCCTTCTCATGTGCCTCATCTCTTCTGATTCAAGCGCTATAGGACAAGGGCTGCCTCTTGCTAGGAACGTGTATAGTGTCTGAACAAGAGACAGTTAATCGCTGAGCACCCCCTCCCGCCCCATCCCACGTAAGGATGGCTTCCAGCTATCCAGATCCTGTTTCACACTGAGACATTAATGCCTTGAGAACTTCATGCTATTCAAGGAATGTGACAAATATTGGTATCAGGGACAAATTCTGCTTAAAGAAACAAATCAAGCAATCCTCTCCAGAATCCAGCCCTCATCCTGTATACAGAGACCAGACCCTCATTAGGAACTACCCTTCCTTTCTAAAATGTATCTGCTTGGTCCAGAAGGCAGAGGTGACATCCAAGCCACAGGGCCAGGCGCCAAGGACTTTCAGAGTATGGATGAGAACATGAAGCTGCTCTTTGAGGAAGAAGTCCAAAGCCTGTGTACCTCAAGTCAAAGTCACTTAACCCCATCACTCCTGGCTCCAAGCTACATCTCCTTACCATATCCTCTCCATTAACTACTTATGATGCTGTGAGGAGTCATCTGTAAAAGAGAGTACTGCGGTTTTATTTGATGTGAGCTCCTTTTCCCTCCCCATCTTCCCTCTGTCTGTGCTCTGACACCACGGACTGTGCCCAACAAACAAGCAGTTTGCCCCACTGTGCTTCCCTCTCCTCCCAGGCAGCTACACCTTCTCTGCACCCTGAGTGCCTGCTAGAAACCTGTGAGGCTCAAGACCACTCTGGTCCAGCATAAAATACAAGCTGTTTGGATTTGCAATGGATTTCTCCCAATACAGGGAGCAATGCAGAAGAAGGGAGGACCTGGAAGCTTCTCTCTTGCTCTTAAAACCATGTGCTTAAAAAACTTAAAATGTGGACAGATAGGCCTTACTCCAGCTTAAAACCTGGAGGCTTGGACAGTCCATTAAGGAGATGGGCTTGGATTAGGCACTCTGAATGTTTGCTTTAAAGAAAGAGTTATTATCTCTCTTCTACAACTAGGAAAATTGAGGTAGAGAATGATCTGAAGATTGGTTTGACATCCCAGAAGGATCTCATAAATTGCTTTAAACAACAATATGCCAGGGCAAACTTGTGAGTTGGAGGCAAAGCCTGAAAAGGATTCAGGGAAGCCAGACACAAAGGGTGACCATAAGGAAAAGAAATGCAGAAATGAACTGTTTTGTCTAGACTGGAGTAAATCCCATGGAGTTAGGCTGCCAACACAGCCTGACAACTTGTTCTGTTTCAGACTTAGTCAGAAGGGTCAGCCAGGACAGTTGGCACGAAGAGAAGAAATCTTGCCTGCCTGTACCACCAAAGGCCCGGAGGCAGGTGCTCACGATGCCTGTCCAGGGCTACAGCTGCAGCAAACATCTCAAGCAATGAGATTTGGAAATAACCAAGTCACAGTACAGAAGGTATGGTGGATGCCAAAGTGCCCAAATGGCACCCGCTCACTTTCCACACAAAGCCAGGCAGAAAAGCCCATGCTCTCAAGAAGACTCCTGCTCCTGATGAAGCACCAGACAAGGCTTCACACCCACAGCAGGCATATCAAGGAGAAAGAGGCATAGCTGCTTGGATCCAGTGGATGCAAAGCCTCAAGGAGGGGGACAGCAGGTGAAGAGGCTATTACATACACACCCCTCTCCAACAATATTCATGTAAACATGGGGCACTGTGCAAGACAACTGGTACAGCTTCAGCAGAACCACTGTAATTTCTGTTTTCTTGCCAACATAAAACGTCTTGTCACAGAGAGACTTTTTCCTACCTCTGTTTTTGTGCAGTTCTTACCTAGTCCCATGCTGAACTCCACAGGCGTCAGGTATCCATTATTGTTCTGTTCCAAGCTGTCAAAAACAGTCTCCAGCTGCTCAGGCGTAAGGGGGAGTTCGTTCTGGAGCCGCTACAGAGACAGAAGAAAGGACAAGATGAAGGCATGACTCAAGTCTTCCATGTGACTCGCTCTGCCCCTGCTGTCCCCCAGCAATGTGCCCTTATAGCACTGCATCCCAGCTGGGATGTGACAGTCTGCCAGGACAGCTGAGTCATGACACAAACGCCTGTCTGGCCCTACTGACATGGCAAGGCTTTCCATTACTGGATGATTCAACCAGGACTGCATAGAGGGAACCTCAGGCTATTTTGTTTGGAGGGAGTTCAGCCCTCTCCCTCCCCCAGTTCAGACCTGCTCCCTCTAGGTCACTGCCTGCCTGCCCAGCACTCTGACCAAAGGCAGCTGCACTGAAGGGCTGAAGCTCTCACAGCGGCGTGGCAGGTACCAGCTCCATCACTGCCACCAGAGCGGGACCACGGGCTTATGATTTGAGATCCAGAGAGCCTGGATTCAATTCCCAGCTCTTCCAGGAAATCCATCGCAGATCATAAGCAAGACATTCAGTTTATGTCTGAGTTAGCTTTCTTCTGCCGTCTCCCGGCTGTTGGGATTGTATCATTGTTCCCAATATACAGACAAGGAACAGACAAATTTCCTTTTATAATAAATGTGTATTTAGCATGAAGGGATCGTTCCCCTACAGAGCTTCAAATTACCAAGTGCAGCTAAAATCCCATTACTGTCTGTTAAACACATAGCTGTAGACAAAGCTTCATAAATATCTATTAACTTAAGTATACAAAATTAGGCATCACATAACCCACAACAAAGTGATTCTATAATTAATCCAGCTTTTGCTTATTAAACAGGTCCTGCCAAGTGATAATTATAGATGGAGTGAGAGATAGGACAGAAGAAAAATAATTCTTATGCAACCTTCCCAATAAAGTTGTTAAAACAAAAGACACAAAGGACTGGAGATTCTGTTGGCAAACACTGTTTCTGTTAATAGAAAACACTAGAATACACTATTCCAGAGAAAAGTTATAATTCAGGCCTAAAGTGAGTTTTTGAGGTAAGGCTTTAGCCATGACTAAAATAATAAAAAAACAAGAACAAAAAAAATAGACCTTTTTTGTTAAGGGGCTGGTGGATAGTTTTTCTGCTGCTGGTGTTTTTTGTTGTTGTGTGTTGTTTTTTTTTTTTTTTTACTAAACTAAAGTAAAAAAACATCAGCTGCGTACTTAAGGGACTGTTACAAAAATGTTGATGTTATGCATCCCTTAAAAATTTGGAATTGCAGTCCTCCTTGTCCCAAGGGTTTTGGAGACAAAAACTGGGATTTTTGATTCCTAGCAGCTGGCTGCAGCAGAGTCCAACTTCAAGAAACCAGAACGACACAGAGCCTGTACACATGCCCACGCTTACCAAGGTAAAGACATGCCACGTTCCACCCAGGCCCTTCTGGCTCCCATGACTGTACAGCTCCTCTTGGGAAGAGCTGTAAAGGGGAAGGAGCTGTTAAAGCTGAATGGGGAAGGATTTTTCCCTCACCTGCATGTCCACCTTGGTGATAAAGCCCTTCTCATCCTTGTCACACAGCCGGAAGAGCTCCCTTGCCTTCTTGAGCATCTCCACCTGCACATCTTCCAATTCACTCATTTGGCTGGAAGGAGAAGCACCAGGAACCACCCCATCCTCCTCGTCCCCCTCCTCTTCTCCTTCCCAGCGGCCGTATCCCAAGAGTGCTCCCCTCTGGTTCTCCATCTTCTCAAAGCCTTTCCCCCCAGGGCAGTGGCAAACGGAAGAGCTGTGGGGCAGGAAACAGAGAAACCCCAGTCAAAGATGTTCCTCCACCTCCACCCCACATATCACCTAGTTACATGTGGTCTGAAAGAACAACATTCAGCATCCATAGCCGTTACTGAGGGGAAGAGGTAAAGAGAGATCGTGAGCAGAGTTTGCCACAGAGGTACAGTCCCTACTGAACAGGGGCGTAACTGAGCCCACCACAGAGATACAACCTGGCACACTGACGGGCTCCAGACCACTCATCTAGCAAGGATGCTAGATTGCCACCGCTCCTCCTCTGGCTCAGACCTACAGGGAAATCGGAGATCTCTGCTGGCAAAAGCCAGGTGCCAAGGGAAGGTTTCAGCAGAGATGAGAGGATGGGAAGAGTATATTCGACACGTGGGTAACTCTGTTTGTGCACGCAGCAGTACTGCCCATCCGCAGAGACGAGGGGCTGGAGCACCGTGGGCAGGGCCAGCTCCCAGCTCTCATACAGCTCCCTGGCTGCCCCGGTCGGGACACTTCTCGCTCCCCCTCACCGGAATTTCCCACCAGCTTCATTCTTCAACCCTTTGGGGCCAGGCTTTCACTCTACTTGCTCTGCCAGCTGGGAGAGCGCAGGCAACACGCAGAAGAGACACAGGAAAGTGCACAGTCCCGAGCCCTCAACTGGGGAGGGGGCCGCAAAGAAGGCACACTTCTGTCCTCTCCCTGCACACCCAGACACAGGCAGCAGGACTAATAGGGGGGGTAACAGGAAAGTGTCTTTTTGGATGCAGAGGTTCTTCAGCGAAGACAAAAAGCAGCTCCTGGGGTGTGAGTGCACACTCTGCTCCACTACCCCAATACCTGAGCTCCTGTTCTTGGTTTCTTTAGTAGTAACACTTCCCTTTCCTCCTCCTGTTGCTCATTTGTGCCACCCTTGAACACCAAAGCTGCATCACAACTCTAAGAGCCCAGAGCAGGACAAAGGCAGAAGAGCAAGATCCATGCAAGCAACAGAGGAATGAGGAGAAGGAATGTTTCTCCCAGCCCTCTCCCACCCCAGTCCCCCAACTGACCTTCCACCTCTGACATTTGCCTGTTAACACTTCCCAAATAGTAACTCCATCTTCTTTCGTGTTATTACAGTACAAAGAAAGGTCAGAAAACTCTTACACTGGCATATAAGACAGGAAAAATTCAATAAGCTGGCCACTCCTCCCCCTCTTGCCTCCCAGCCTCTGTTTTGAAAGTTCATAAGCTGCCAAACAGAATTTTAATCTGAAACGTTCACCTTTGAAGGAAGGAAACTCCACGATCATGGAGACATATCAGATGCCAAAGAAAATAATTCCCATTATTTACAAGTACCTGAAACAAAGAGGCTAAGAAAGAGAGCACCCCTCTAAGTACAGCATTGTGACTGTAAAGATGCATACAATACATCCCTATCCCAACTCCCCTTCCGACTTACTGATCCAACCTAACACCCTCCAGACACCTTGTCTTCAGCAGCACCACCACTTCTTAGAGCCTTGTTGCACTGATTGCTTTAGACGTCTCCTTCTCCAGAGCTACAGTCTGCATTGCAGGGCAGAAGTGAGCTGTGCAAGCAAGCTGAGAGCAGATTTAAATAGTATGAGCCAAGGAGTTGTTGTTTTTTTTTTTTTTTTTTAAATCGCCAGGAAATAAAAAGCCATGTACAGATGCCGCGATAACAGCCAACTTAATTCTGTTTGCACTACTAGTACACTAGAAGGATAGAGAACAACATGACTGAGAAGAATGTCACAAGCATGAAATGTATGAAACTAATACAAAAGGAGAAGGCAATTATGTACTCTGCTATTTGAGTCTGCTTATTACTGCTGCTCAGTGAGCTAGAGGGTGGTTCTGCTTCAGAGAACAACTAGATCGCTTCACTCTCCCTTTCAAATGAGTATTTTTTCAGGGCACCTCAGTTCAGTGTCACTTAAAAAACATATTTATTGAAATACTGCAGAGGACCATCTAGAAATTAGTACTACACATACGCCTTCTAGTCAAGTTAGTCATCCCAGGCAAGCAATGAACATAGAGCTAGGACTTGAGCTTTGGGGAATCCTGGGGCTGAAAGAAGGGAAGAGAGTAAGAAAAGGGTGAAGGCAGAGGGAGTCTGTCTCTGTCTCTCTCATAAGCCCTCTTGCTGAAGCTTTCTATTTCATATTACAGAGCAACATTTGGAGACTAAAGCTTGATTCTATCCCTTTAGTTGGACAGTCAGCTTGCTTCTGATGGCAAGTCTGCACACGGTAGCAGTAAAGAAGCTAGAAAGAACCCCAGCTTGGGTTTTATATATTAAGTAAAAGTTGCAGAGTTGGCCTTGGCAGGGGGGGTGACACAAATATCTTTAGCTGCAGAGATTTTACAGGTCATTATGCTGAGGAGTCACATAGCTACAGCAATAAATGATAATTATCAGCTGCTACAGGCCATCTTGCTGAAGATCTTTGCCAGACCCGTTTCTTCCACGCAGACACAGTCACAGCACAAGCACGTGGGGGCAGAGGTGGACACAGAACAGGAGCTCAGAGGAAGAGCCATGACAGGATTGCAAGAAGGCACAAAATGAGAAAAAGCAGAAATAAGAAACACTGAAGGTACCATTTTCTGAAACATCCCTCTCACCACCCAACTGAAGTCCTCAGCAGTACAAAAAAGAAAAGTCCTTATTTTCTTGTTAGCAAGTTCATCGTTTCTATTTCAAAAGCCAGCGCAGCACATACAGGTGATATCTCCCCAGCTCTCCTGCAGCAAAAAAAGGTTGAACAAGGAGGATGTTCTATTCTCTCAGAGACACATTACACCCCTTCCTCTAGCATCTCCTTTTATCAAAAGCCCAGCTGTATTGCAGCTCTAAAACATTAGCCAGGCTGAAAGTCTCTTCGTTAGAAGAGCTGGGGACCTGACATAGACACGAATCTGAAAGGATTTGACTCATATACGTAAAAGACCAAGCCCATTAATTCAACATTCAGAGTACACCGTCTCTTGTTCAGGCTGCTTCAAGCGGCTTGAAGCCAGATGTGGCTCTCTCAAAGGCGGGATGACCTTGCAGAAGAATAAAGCTGCAAATAAAAGAGAGCCCAGTAAATAAGATTACAGGACAGCTTTCAGATGAGACTTCTCTCCAGAGGCCTTCGACAGAGAAGTATTTCTGCATCCCCATTTGCAAGGGCATGGTCTTTGTAAGGCACGATATAAATGCAGGTGAGGCATGACGCAGAACTCAATCTAGCAAGGGCTGTCAGACCTTCTCCAGGTAAAAATCGTTGCAGCAAAGCGTTGATGAAGCACTTTTATCAGCAAGGTAAAGAGCATAACTAAATGATAACCTCAGAAGAGGATGAGTTCATAAGACTAGAAACCCTGAGGACTTGTCCCAAGATGGAGGCCAGCATTGCTGCCTGAGGGCGAAGGATCAGCTTGGCAAGAACCACATCCGCCTGACACAGGTGGAGGAGCCAAAGAAGAAAGGTGCAGGCTTCATCAGCGGGACATAAGCCAAGTCAGAGCACGATCTTCCAGTGAAAACTCCCCAGGTTGCTACAGAAGCTTCACAACAGAAGACCCACCAGGATTCATTTTTCCAGCTCTCATCTGGCAGGACAAGATAGTCATTGAGACAATACCAGTTAAACATTAATTTCCACACCTAGCCTGGTGTCAGGACAATCTCTATACCCTGGGCTTCTGATCTGCATTGTAAGAACATCTGTAATGGGCTCTGATTGTCCTGACCAACCTGTAACCACCTCTCTGGGTAATGTTCTTCTGCAGCTCCTTCCTCCCCCGTCGTAAGGGTTTGGCTGCCTGTGCAGGGACCTCCACTCGTGCATCCATTGCCTGTCAGCTCAGGAGCTGCACTTAAGCTCAGGTCCTTCCTTTAGTTACGCTGTAGCTATGCTCGTGCCTTGACTTGCTGAACTGATTTTCTGGTTTGTCCTCAGACCTGCCTTGTCACTATGGACTCGATCACTGGACTCTCGGACCTGCTCTGCTCTTCTTGCTCAGGTCCTGTGGGCCTGAGTGCTTGTCAGTGAGGGCACTGCCCTGCCTGCCTTGCCATCACCCTCACGTCCCGGCTCCTCTTCCCTTGCAGAACAGGCAGCTCCTGCTGCTTCTTGACAGAAATCTCCCTGAGAGATGCTGGCAACATCTGTGACCTTGGCAAGGTCAGGGAGACAGATGAATGGCCTGATACAGACCCTGAGAGACTGCCAGTCTTCAGGACCATTGAATTACATCAACCATCTCCTGTCGTGGTGTGCGTTGGGGCCCAAAAAGCAAATATTCACCTGCACCTACAAGACAACTTCCTGGGTGTACAGGGCCTGGAAAGCAAACACAGATCGTCTCAGACAAAGCACATGACTGGAAACTCAGCGATCAGTAAAGGGGGCCAACAACAGGTCTGGCATTTCCACACAAAGGTAACTCAGATCAGCATTATATACATGCATATTTTAACTACCTGAGACATACATGCGTAGTTTCTCTTGTGCAAAGCTATGCCAGAAAGTCAGCCAGATCCTACGGGCAAGGCACTCTTTGGGGAATCACAAGACCTGAAATTTAATTCTGACTCAACCTGCCATATGGTCCTAGGTAAGTCATGTCACCTGCCTATGCCTATAGCGTTGTCAGCTCCTCCAATTGGAATCTGATGCTTATGACAGCTGGCATTTTATTTTAAGACTCAGTTCCTGGAGAAACAGAATTACATGAGAAACTCGAGCATCAAAATAGTTTTAAAGTTTCACAGCTTTAAAACAACTTGAATGAAGAATCTGGATGCACTGCAAATCTCAACAAACAGAATACTGAATCCAAGGTACTGTTCCCAGAAAGGGGAGGTAATTTCTTTCCAGTTAGAGTTATGGTACGCAATTTATTGCTTTGGAAAGCTTGGTGTTATAGCAGTAATCAATGTTAAAGAGGCAAAATGCTATCAACAGTTGAGCCTTTATCTACGTTATTGTGACCACTGTCTGCACATGACCACATTGGCGCTTTTTTGCAGCCTGATGACAAGGAGGAAAGGAAAGAGGGGAGTACAGCCAAGTTTTCCACAGTCGATCCTCAGATGACCTCAGTCACCAACAAGACACTGCACACACAGCATTCCTAGCAGTCCTGTGAGGATGCAATACAATGAATCAACAGTCAAAGGAGAAAAAACTAAGCACAACTTGTTAAGTGGCTTATCCAGGATTACAGAGTAAGTCCCATGTTTGGGGCCCAGGAATGCAGGTTTTCGTCTTCCCGTACTATGAGTTTTTGGTGACGTGGTCGTAGAAGAGAATCTTAAAGAAGTATCCTTACAGGTAACATAATAGCTACCTAAGGTGTACCACAAAATGGAGGGCTTAGATACTTGCTGGGAAGTTCCCCAAAAGAGATCCTGCTCTATCTCTGCCTGAGACAGTGTAATTAGAAACAAAAAATCCCATACTAAAGCTAAATAGTTAAGCCACTCGCTCAAATAGATCAGAAGAACACACACCCTTTCCTTTCTCCTTCTATTGCATAAAACAAGTCTTGCAACTTTAAAGGAAGCCTGTAACACAGCCACAGATCTGTTCGTGCCAGAAAGCTGCTCTCTGGACACAGTGAAGATGCCCAAGGAAATAATGTGCCACAAGCTAGGACCACCCATTCTTCAAGCAAAGCACACCAACAACCTCCTTGCAGGATCAGGCCTATATAGGAACGAGGCCACCCCAGCAGCAAATGTAGGCTTATACAAGAACACTTAAGGAATTCAGCTTCATCCTTTACTGCGTGTTTAGGTGTGTGCTGGTCATGCCAGGCTTCTCTGAAGCAAACACCAAATGAGCCAGGTTTGATCCCCTGCACTAGAGGATGTAACACAAAGAGAAGGAGATGAAGGGCCAAAGTAAGGTATCCCTATAATACAAGCCAGTTGCTTCTGCAAACCACAAATACAGAGTAGAAGCACTTCAAGATGCGGTACAGTACAAAGCGTGCTTTGCTTGCTCGTGAAATTGGTACGTTATCCAGGAGTAGCAAAATAACAAGTAGGTTTTAAAGCAAAGGGTGATAAAAGTGTTATGGGTCCTTATACCATTTTATATCAAACATATACCACTTGTATTGTTTGTTCTCCTTCCCTTTCTCTCCTGACACTTTGAAAGCTAATAATTACTATAAAAACAGTACTCTTCATAGGACACAGTCCCATGTATAGGTGACTCGGCTGTTAGATTTTATAGTAGTTTGAGACTCAGTGATCAAACACACATATGTAAAATTATCTTTGTTGCATGCAAAAAGCACACATTCTGAATGTGTTGACAAAACTACAGCCCCACAAGTCTCTCTGAACAGGTGAACGTAGAGGAGAGGTCGAGCCAAAGAGCCACGCTGATCCCTATGGCAAACTTGCTTCCACCCAGCCTGAATTTCCAAAAGCTGCTCAAAGGAACTCTGCACCCATTTGGTAGAAATGGTTTTAAAAGGCTCTGCCACAGTGTCTGGAAAGGCTGGGAGGAGAGCAGAAGGAAAAGTTATTTCTCAATATACTTTGTACGAGTATACTTTATACTTTGTACTAAATTAATTTTGCTCTTTTCTTCCATAGGAAATATGTTTACATTGTTTGGAACCTGTTTGGGTGGTTGTTGGGTTCTCCCTTCCCAAAGGGAACCACAGGAAAAGAAATACATCGAAAAATTAGAAAAACATCAATTGTTTTGCGAGTGATTTTTCTTTAAAAAAAAAAAAAATCAAAAAACCCCCCCACACACCCTGGGCCAAAGAGCCTGAAATCAGATGTGATATCTAGAACTACACTTCTCTCCCCCTCTCTCTCTCTTTTAATTGCCTGCACTTGATTGTATCCCTTTAAGGAAATAGGAACGAATCCAGGAAACTTTGTGTTGTTTACTCAGCAGGAGATTAGTCCAGCTTGATAGCTCTGAGCTAACCCATGCTGCAATATTTACAGGTGACTACATTATGGGATGTGCCACGAAGATAAAGAGGTATATCCCAGAAATATGGGCAGCTGGAAAGGGCTCCGTCATTCAGACTAGACTGCAACTTTAAAAAGGCCCTATGCTGCAATTCACCGCTTCCCTCATTTAAGTTTATCAAAGAAGAGCTCTTTATCACTTGGCATGACAACTTCTCAATCTCTGTCAGAAAAAAAACCTGCCATGAAAAGACTTTGCTTTGATGCGGACTCTGTGCCCCTATCTGCAAGTGATAGGAGACTGGTAACAATTCTTTTTTTTTTTAATGCCAAGACTTTAGAACAAGTGACATTGTTAAACCACACTCACCGATGCTTTCCGAGCTTTCTGATCCAACAATACAACAGGAAGCACCAACACCTGCCAAGAATCATTGGTGTAATAAGTCTTTAATACAGACAGGTACCCAGATCATACCAGAAAAATACTTTTTCCCCTGGAAATTGCCGATACTCCATCTCCATCACACCCCCACACGATTCCTCTGCTTTGCCTATCAACAGAGCCAACGACACTCTGCGGTTCTCACACGCTAGCACAGTGACACAGAGTTGGCATTGCAAACACTGAGGGTGCATGTTTGTTCTGGACGCACTCTTACTAATCGGGGTTTTGGCTTTACTAGGTTGTTTTTCTTGGGGAGAGGAGAGGGAAAGCATGAGATTTTTCCTCTAACAGTATTTGGACCAAGAGTAATTAAAAACAAAACCCAAACCACATTTTTTCCATATACAGCTAATGGTCTAGGATCTGTCAATATAACCAGTGCACAGCTGATTTTTCAGAAAATAAAGAACATACCTGCAGTAAGACATGACAAACAGCAACAGCTAGTTTAAAAAATGACTCATTTTCACAAGTTCCTTTGCTTTCCAAAGGCTTATAGGTTTCCCAGAACACTTTTTGTTTGTTTTTAAAGAGACAGAAGAGAACATTGCAACATCTCATACATACAACATGAGGCCTCAACCTCATGAAAACCAGCGATATTACAACCTTTGGCTTCAAGAGGAAGAATTCCACCATATCTCCACAGGCTGGAGATCATGCTGCACGTCCACAAAGGACACAATTAGTCAAGAGTAAGTAAATACCATTCACTTAGTCAAGTAGAAAAGGCTATGAGCAGCATCAAATTTCCTGCTGCTGCCACTGCTGTTAATGTTCTACCATAAATATGTGATTTATGATTACAGAGGCAATCAGCTCAAGAACATTAATTGAGAAAGACAGGAAATGCTAACTGTAAAAAGATAATAAAACCTTTACTCCCACTAGATGAACACTGTTAATAGTGCTGTGAAGTTGGAGCTAGATGCTGCTTTCAGTACAGCATTAAGTAGGTGGATTATATTGGTTTTACGCTAAGCATGTCTACTCCACTGTAAAGTGCTTGGTTCTCTTGGTGATACCCAGTGGTAAGGCAGGAAAGAGGCAAACAAACTTTCCTTGCCACCCAGACAGGGGAAAAGGAGGCAAGAAGACGGAGGACTTGGCACTTGAGGTAAGACAGCTCTGGAACACTCACGATTCAAATTACAAACCGAGCACAGGAAACTCAGGAAAGGAGACCACCCCCTCCCCTCCTCAAAGGGCTGGTGTGGCAGCCAGGAATGTCCCAGAAGGAAGACAAGTTTCAGACCTGAGCTGTCACGTTCGAAGCTCTTGCAGCAGTCATTATAGGAAATGAAAATCCAGGGCAGCTCCTCAGCTTGTTTAACTGAGCGTTCCCGGCGATTTCCTCGGAGCGCTGCTGCCTTACCTGCTCCTTGAGCAAAGGGAGCGCTTGTGTGCAGAGCGGGTCACAATAGGAGTGACAACCAGAAGTCACTGCAGTTCTCCTGGGCTTGTGCCACTAATTATTGAACAGCTAACATGTCATCCAGGAAAACTCAGCACATGACGACCATTACCTTGGCCACCGCAGCTCAGCAAGGACATGTCAGCAGAATTACTGTTGTTGAGATTCCTTTCACATCCTGACAGCACCAGAGGCACTGGTGAACCTGGCTCCTTTCCAGCCCTCAGGAATGTATTACCTCGGCCACACCTGGGGTCCTGCAGAGAAAATTCACACCAGAGGGAGGCACCCCTCATTCCCGTGCTGGTGTAAGAGCTAGACACACTCTGTTAGTGTCCTTGAAGTACTTCAAGGGCAAAAAAATATTATGCAAAATAACATTAAGTGGATAAAAGGTTCTAATGGGTACACAAAGCTTTAAGTTGCTCTTGAGTTGTGCATGTAGCTAATTCCCAAATGGCAGATATGGTAAACAATTGTTCCAAGTTACTGTCTTCTTTAAAGACAAGAATTTAGGAACATCCGATGAAACTGGGGGGTGGCAGTTGCACATCGAACACAAGGAAGCACTTCTTCACATGTCACTGAAGCGTGGAACTCCTTGATGCAGGATGCTGTGGATGTCACAGGCATTCACGGGGTGGAGAAGTGACTGATTTTTCCTTCCTTGAGTTTGTCTATAAATGGCTACTAAACACAAAGCGTCTCTTTTTGGCTCATAAAGTCTCCGAGCCACAAACAGCCAGAAAAGTATACTAGAGAACTATTGGTATGCATTTACTCTTGGGAAGAGTATGAGAAGAGGATATCTGCTACCAGCTACGGATGGAGATATAGAGCTGGGCTTCAGCCTAGCTATTCTTCAGTATGAATAGAGGCTCCTTTCTCATCAGCAGGAACCACGGTCATAAAACGTGGAGTCTTTTGCCAAAAGGTCCATAGCATTTGCTGCATCTTCAAAAAGGACAGTAGCATGAACTGGACTCAGAACACTAACAGACAAAGGTCAGTCTGCTCCCCACAACTATCCCTTCCACTAGGCCCATAACTTGGGTGCCATACTCAACTCAGACCTCCCTCTAAGTCCTATGATTCCAGCTGTGTCTGTGAAATGCCAGAACAAAGCTTTTCCTCAATTTCTCTTCCACTTACGACATGCACACATCTTCTCTTCTGTTTTTCCTCAAACAGTTCCCCCATAACACACACACACACACACACAGTGTTAAAATACCACACCAGAACATCAGACTGTTAAGTCCCCATTCCAAGGGGAAAACTCTGCTCTTCGGCAAAGCTGCCCACAGGCACCCCACTCACAATGAGCATTTCATACATGTGATAGACAATGATTTCTTCTCCAGCTGAGCCAGCAAGTTCTCCGCAGCACTTGACACAGACTTATACAGAGGGCTGGAGGTGCAGGAGGATGCACAGAGGTCAGTCATGCTTCTCTCATCCCAGCAAATTCATCTCTAGTCTCCTGAGAACTGGGCACAGTGATCTCAGCACTGCGGTCTTTTCTGGGCTGCATGTTTGAGACAGGACCAGGAAGAGAACCTTTCCCTTGCTACTCAGCATCTGCAAGATGGACA